ATATATATATATATATATATATACACATATATACATTATTTATTATTATAATTATATATATTTGTTTTTACTCTAAAAGCACTATTTAAGTGTTTGTTTAACTGAATGTGGTCCTTGACAATGTTTTACTTTGTTTATTAGCTTTTTTAATATTAAATTTTAGTAAAAAAAATAAATAAATAAATAAAAACATGGTTATTATATTACTTTATTAAAAGTCCAACTACAAAAAAAAAGAAACTTTTTATTATTTAAATATTTATTTTCATTCTCACGTTTCAAGACAATGGACATTCATTCATTCATTCATACCTTGTTGGCTTAGTCCCTTTATTTATCAGGGGTCACCACAGCGAAATGAGCTGCCGACCATTCCAGCATTACTGGGAAACATAATTACACACTCATTCACACACACACTCATACACTAGGGCCAACTTAGTTAATCAGTTAATCTATAGTGTATGTGTTTGGACTGTGGGGGAAAACAGAGCACCCGGAGAAAACCCACGCCAACTCGAAGAGAACATGCAAACTCCACACAAAAATACCAACTGATCCAGCCAGGACTCAAACAAAAAAATTTGAGAATTAATCAGGGGTCAACACAGCGGAATGAATTACCAACTTATACAGCATATGTTTTACGCTGCGAATGCCCTTCCAGCCACAACCCAACACTGGGAAACACTCATACACTCTTTCATTCACACACACACACACACACACACACACTCTCATTCACGTGTACACCATGGCCAATTTGGATCATTCAATTCATGTGTAGCGCATGTGTTTGGACTGAGGGGGAAACCGGAGCACCCAGAGGAAACCCACGCCAACTCTGAGAGAACATGCAAACTCCACACAGAAACACTACCTGGCCCAGTCGGGACTCGAACCAGCGACCTTCGTTCTGTGAGGCCACAGTGCTAACCACTGTGTCACCCCCATTCAAGCTACAGCATTCGTTTATCATCAGTTCATGCATTTCCTGGGAAATCAAACCCACCACCTGCTCAAACTGCAGTAATACACCAGCAGCTCAACTATCCTCCAGTCACACTAACTAAGAGCAGAGAAGAACAAAGCTGCGTAAATCAGGCATCAGAGAGCTGCAGACCTGTCCGAACAAGCTCAAGCTGATCACAACATGAAGAGAAGCCGAGGAGCATTCAGACATTCACATCCACCATGAGCACAGACAGCTTTTACACACTTACAGCAGCACTTCAAAATGTGCTTCAGGAGATCGCAAGACATCAAAACTAACGCCACTCGTCTGAGGGAGTTTTAAAAAGCTGCTGTCACAGAGTTTTAGCACTTAATGGCAGCATGCCGCACACCTTTTACACGAACAAGCAACAGACAAGAGTTGAAAACAACACCAAAAAGCCACTTCAGTGTTTGTTAAAGGGACAGTTCACTCAAAACTGACAATTGTCATTTACTCGTCCTACATTTGTGCTGTTACAAACCTGCTTGGGTTTTTGTTGGTTTTTGTAGAACACAAAAAGAGTCATTTTGAAAAATGGTGGAACACTGATTCCATTGACTACCATAGGATTTGTTCATCCAGCTTTGAATGTTTCTGACATTCTTTAAAGTATCTTCTTTTGTGTGTGTTTTTTTTTAGAACCTGTTTCAACATTTTTCAAAATACTTTTTTTGTGTTCTACAATTTTTTTTACCATGATTTTACTATAGTAAGAGTGTTTTAGCAGAGTAAAAAGATGCACATAACATCAAAAATACCATGGTTTAGCGTAGCAAAGCCATGATTAATTTGTGATTACCATGCATTAGGAAAAAACAAAACAAAATTTTATTCTGTTGAACACAAAAGAAGATACTTTGAAGAATGTTAGAAATGTTTTTTGTTAAACCATAGTAGCTACATGAACCTCCATATTATTAGTTTTTCCAACTTCAAATGTTTCTAACATTCTGCAAAATATCTTCTGTTGAATGTCTTTTTGTTAAACCATGGTGTCCACAAATTAGTCATAGCTTTGCTACACTAAACCATTATACGTTATACAACGTTTCACTCTGCCGAAAACATGGTTTCTACACGCCCACTACAGTAAAATCATGGTAAATAGCTTTGTGGAACACAAAAAAAAAACTTTTTTTTTTTTTTTATAACTGTTGAAATGTGGTTTCCATTGACTTCCTACTATGAACATTTTTCAAAGTATCTTCTTTTAATATCTTCAGAATATATATGTTTGGGAGTTTTTTGTTAATCCATGGTAACCACAAATTAATTGCAGCTTTGCTTCACTAGACCATGGTGTTTTTGTGTCATGAAATTTCTACTCCTCCAAAAACATGGCTTCTACATTCTCACTATAGTAAAATTGTGGGGGTTTCTTTGCAGAACGTAAAAGAAATAATATTGAAAAATGTTGAAGCATGCATTCCAGTGACCTCCGTATGTAGTTTTTCCAATTTTGAATGTTTCTAACATTCTTTAAAGTATCTTCTTTTGTCTTCAACGGAATAAAATTTTGTTTTGTTTTTTCCTAATGCATGGTAATCACAAATTAATCATGGCTTTGCTACACTATACCATGGTATTTTTTATGTTATGTACATCTTTTTACTCTGCTAAAACACTTTTACACGCTTGCTATAGTAAAATCATGGTAAACAAAATTGTAGAACACAAAAGAAGTTATTTAGAAAAATGTTGAAACAGGTTCCATTTACTTCCTTGTTACTTGTTTTTCCAAATTTAGAATGTTTCTAACATTCTTCAAAGTATCTTTTGTGTTCAACAGAATATATTTTTGTTAATCCATGGTAACCACAAATGAATCATGGATTTGTTACACTAAACCATTGTACTTTTGATTTCATGCAAATTTTTTTCTCCACCAAAAACATGGTTTCTACAGTCTTACTATAGTAAAATCATGATATTATTGTTGAACACAAAAGAAGTCATTTTGAAAATTGTTGCAACAAAGATTCGATTGACTTCCATGTTATTCGTTTTTGTCAAATTTGGAATGTTTCTAACATTCTTCAAAGTATCTTCTTTTGTGTTCAACATCGTATATATGTTTGTATATGTTTGTATGTTTGTTTGTTTTCATTCTTACTGTAGTAAAAGTGTAGCATTTTTTGTAAAACACAAAGGAGGTTATTTTGAAAAGGGTTCCATAGACTTCCATATGAGGTCTTTCCAATTTTGAATGTTTCTAACATTCTTCAAAGTATCTTCTTTTGTTTTCAACAGAATACAATTGTGTTAACGACAAATTCATCATTGCTTCGCTACACTAAACCATGATATTTTTGGCATCACATAACTTTTTACTCCAAAAAAACATGGTTTTAAGACTCCTACTACTGTAAAATCCTGGTTATTATGTTTTGTAGAACACAAAAAAGTTAATTTGAAAAATGTTTGAACGGATTCCATCGACTTCCATCTTATAGAATGTTTCTAACATTCTTCAAAGTATCTTTTTCTGTGTTTAACTGGATATTTCTTTGTTAAAACATGGTAAAAACAAATTAATTGTGGCTTTGCTACAATAAAACATGGTGTTTGTGGTGTATTACAACCTTTAACTTTGCCAAAAACATGATTTCGACACTCTTACTTTGGTAAAAACATGATACTCTTTGTAGAACACAGTTATTTTGAAAAATGTTGAAACACTGACTTGCAATTTTTAAATGTTTTAAACATTCTTCAAAGTATCTTCTTTTCTGTTCAACAGAATAAAGACACATAAAGGTTTGCAATCACTTGAGGGAGAATAAATAAATGATTGTTGGGGTGAACTGTCCCTTTAATTTGATCATCTACACCTGCTAGGACACCTGACTTAGTGACATTCACCACAGATATTAAACTGATGAAAGTACATTAAAACGTCAACAAAAACAAGAGCTCGTGTTTGATCCATAACTGTCACTCATCCTAGCATTTTTTTAAATCACTTTATCGTTCAAACTCACCATTGCTGCGTATGTTTGAAGCCCTCATGACTCTGGAGGACATCACCTGGGCCTGTGTGGGGTAATTCTCACCACTCAACACCGCGATGAAGGAGCACACGAGCAGCCACATCATCTGGAACCCAACCGTCCGCTGATCCGCGACCCAGAAGCGCCACATGGACCCGGAGTTTCCACCGCAGCGCCGCGCGTCCTCGGATCCAGAGAACAGGTTGACGCCGTATATATACACCAAGCCACGGAATTCAAAGACTTCCAACTTTATCTGCTTCTGTCCCGTTTGACCCCGAGCTTATAATTCCACAAGAATACTTTCCATTCCTTGAACATTTAGCGAAAGGACGCGCGTAAAAGTTGGCGGTGATGACGGCTCCCCGGAGATCACGCGTCAAACTCCCGCTGAAAGATCGCCTTGGTGCGCATGGATGGATGGATGGAGGGAGAAAGGAAGCCTATGAGGGCTGGACCCCTTTCATCCAGTCAGGACGAGGAAATACCGCCCGGTTTGCGGAGTGTTAGCTGGAATATTTTCCCTCTGTGCGTAACGCTGCCACTCTTTTCCTGTTTGTTGCGCCGCGAGGAAAGTTTCCAACACTTTTCCCTGAGGAAAGAAACGCGTGGCGGCGTTACACACGGGATTCAAACTGCAGGCCAGGACTTGAAATCAATTTTCAAACTATTTCTCAATCATGTAAGCAGCTACCGAAGTATTACAAAGTCTTACTGGGGAGAAATATGAATTTAATAATAACAAGGAACAGTTGCACCTTAACGGAAACCCTTATCAGATCAGGACACTTCCGCTCTGGAAAATGAGTTATTGTCTGCGTTTCCAAAGGGAATAATAATTTACCACTCTGTACACTGTGTACTGCGACTGAATAGTCGATGAAATCCCGCTTATTAGGGCACGATAATACTGATTTACGTATGTTTAATTTTGTAAATGCCGTTTTGGTGCTAGAAACGGCTGTAAAATAGGTCAGATCACTTCCGGTTCAGGCCTTTCCTTGGAGTCAGAATCAGAAAGAGCTTTAATGCCAGGTATGATCACACATTGTTTTCGTGACAGAAGCTTCTATAGTGCAACTGAATGACAAAGACTGAATAAAAAAACAGATAATACATGAATAAACATAGAAGTAAATACAAATAGTGAATGCAAACACACAAATTGGCAAGTGTATGAAAAGGTATATAACTAAATACAACGTTATTTGTGCTGCTGTTATGTGCCAATTGGCATGCAAAGTATGTTGATTGATAAATAAATGTATATGTGTATAGGTAGTTAGTAGTGATTTTTGTTTAAGAATTACCAACATTAATTTGTGCATCTTTAATTAAAAATAAAGAGGTTTTACACAATATAGAATAAAATGTAAATCAAAGGCGGCAACAACAAGGCTCCAAAAATACAAATTTATTAAATTAAAAAGGCTGACACAGAGCGTGCATTTAATTTGCACTTTTTGCGGTTTCGGCTGAGCACCCAATTAAGAGAGATGTGCGTGCTTTTGTACAGTTTTTTCACAATATAGAATAAACATAGTTTCAGTCATTTTCTTTTCAGCTTAGTCCCTTTAAAGGCCCGTAGCCAGCCTGGTGAAAGGGGTAGTTCTTTTTTTCTCAAAAAGTGGACCATTTTGCAGTTTTTCACCTCATTTTCTGTTTAATTATGGTTTAAATACTGCATTTTAGTTACATTTTAAGCACTTTTTGTTTAAAAAGCTTGTCGGATGGTCATCAGATCTAAAGTTTTTGATGTACCAGAGCATTTCCTTAAAAGTTTTGAAAAAAACATACTTTAAAATTCTAATTTCTTTATCATCTGATTATTTATCATTAGGAAAAAAATACTAGGACTCGTTAAATTCTTTAATAAAAACCGAAGCTTATTTACATTTATTAAGCAAATAACAGTCTGGCCAGCACGTTCAACTGTCCTCTGTTAGAATTTAGCCATTTAAATATAAAATAAACAAACAATTAAACAATAAGAATAATAATGTAGAGCTTCACTTTTTTTTTTTTTTTTCTAGATTTTTCTCTTGTAAAAAAAGTTTTTTAAAAAAAGTGCTTGTGGACTGCTTCTCGATAAACAAAGAGAGGGAAAAAATCACAAGACATTGTCTCAGAAAAATAATTCCAGAAATTTCATTTTCATGATATTGGCATCAAATTCAAAACATACGCTCAGGAGATGTGCGGCTTTTGATCTATTACTTTTCTGTATTCTTATTTGTTTATGAAATAATAATTTTTTTTTTTATTTTATTATTAATAATAAAATAATAAAAATTAATAATAAAATAATTTAAAAAGCCGAGCACGCAGTATTCTGCAGGACACCTTTCACCCTGCTCACAGACAGTTTTCTCTCCTGCCCTCCGGCAGGCGCTTCAGGCTCCCCCGGACAAAAACCAGCAGACTGAGGAACAGCTTTTTCCCCAGAGCTGGCTCCCTCCTGAACTCTGCCCCCCACTGACTCTTTTGCCCCCCCAATACACCCCCCACTCTCCTCTAACTTAAACTCCTCGCAATAACTGCAATGTTTAACATTTGCACATTTAAAATTTGCACATTCACTGCACCACATTGAACTGTTTACTTATTGAACTGTACTTACCCACTGCATATGGGCATTTGTAATTATGTACACACCCACTATACATATACTCTTGTAATCATGCTTATTTATCTGCATACTACTGATTATTAATAGCAACCTGCACATATATTCATATAATTTTACATATACACTTGTAATCATGTTCATCTATCCCTGTACATATATTCATATATTGTAACATATACACTTGTTATCATGTTTATATCTATCTGAACACTACTGTTTATTAATAGCAACCTGCACATATATTCATATATTGTAAATCTGTTCATAGCTTATCCAACCTGTATATAATGTTCATAGTACATCCATCTGTAAATATCACCATAGTTTTCTATAACTGCACTTTATAATTTATGCCTGTATCCTGCACTTGCTGCTATTGCACTGCTGGTTAGACCTAAACTGCATTTCGTTGCATTGTACTTGTACATGTGTAATGACAATAAAGTTGAATCTAATCTAATCTAAAATGTTTAGTGCAGGGAATTTTTATTTTTACATTGCATAAGCATCCATAACATTTTTTTTCACTTAGAGCATTATAAACACTGGCTGATGGATAATAAAGCCCAGAGTGTCTTCTTTCCAATGATACATAAACTGTGAATGTAGACCAAATCGTTCAGCAACTGTAAATGTTTTAGCTTTGGGAAGATCATTAAGGAGAGAAGGACATCAACATAGCCTCAGAAAACTTTTTACACAAATCTCATTTTGCATGCTATCTTCATCAAATGTAAAAAATAAACTCATGAAATACTTGGCTTTCAAGTCATATTTTTTCCAGAACATTACATTAATGTTTTACTGTGTTTGTATATGAAAAACAAATATTGAACACGATACATTTTTTTTTCCTCATGACTTTATAATGTATAACTTTTTATATTTTTTTACATGTAACTTCTCCTTTTACCACACGAAAGCTCAAAGTGTCTTCTTTCCAATGATACATGATTTGTGTTTGTAGCTTACTGGAGTCAGGAACTGTTACTATTTACAGTTAGGTAGGTGTAAATCCCCAAAATTGAGTGCTGGCTAACAGGATAAATTAAAAAATCATGGATGACAACGATCGCCTGATTAGTATTAAAATTAACTTTAATATGGGCCGCTTTTGGTGCTTCACACTTTTTATTTTGATGATTTTTCTTTCACGAATAACATCCAAAATTTAGAATAAAAGTAATTTGTAAAATGGTTTCTCTATTTCACAACAATACAGTAGGTCAGTAGTCAGGGGCGGACTGGGACAAAAATTCAGCCCTGGCACTGTAGCCACACCAGCCCACATTACCACACCGAAACAGCCCCACCCACAGACACGCACATTCACTATTTAGTCTACACATGGTGAAATAATATGACATTCTTGCCAGATTTTAATTATGCATGGGTAAACCTCGGATTGGGTCGGCCCATCTTGAAACCAGGTGGCAGTTGCCGATTGGGCCAAATGCTTAACATTTATTATTATTATTATTATTATTATTATCATAATATCACATCTAGCAAGAGATAAAAGCTGTCTGCACTTAAAAACAATACATATTTAAAAAAAAAAAACTGACCGGCCCACATTTAAAAATTGGTCCGGCCCATATGGCATTTGCCAGAATTGCCAGATGGCCAGTCCGCCCCTGTCAGTAGTGAAAGATGACTTTATTTTCGTCAGATTGTATGTTTTCTTGCACAGATGTTGGACTCATGAAAAATAATGGTTTGCATTGGCCAAAACCGATAAGCTGAAGTCACGACAGCCAACAGAGGATTCCGCTTGCCTTCTTCGATGGCTTATTTTCACAATTTATGACAGAACAGCGGGGCGAAGCAGTGGAGCATTAGGTAGTGCTGTCGCCTCACAGCAAGAAGGTCCCTGGTTCAAGCCTCGGCTCAGTTGGCGCTTCTGTGTGGAGTTTGCATGTTCTCCCTGCATTCGTGTGGGTTTCCTGAGGGTGCTCAGGTTTCCCCCACAGTCCAAAGACATGCGGTACAGGTGAATTGGGTAGGTTAAATTGTCCGTAGTGTATGAGTGTGTGTGTGGATGTTTCCCAGAGATGGGTTGCGGCTAGAAGGGCATCCGCTGCATAAAAACTTGCTGGATAAGTTGGGAGTTCATTCCGCTGTGGCGACCCCGGATTAATAAAGGGACCAAGCTGACAAGAAAATGAATGAATGAACGATAGAACAGCAGTCAAAATGGGACAAATGAGCTCATGTAAATTCTGGATCTTTGTCAGTGTGGGTGGGTCTTTCGAACCACCCCTGGCTACGGGCCTGCTTTATTAATCTGTGGTCGCCACAGCGGAATGAACCACCTACTTATCTAGCATATGTTTTAAGCGTTATTTATTTCTTTATATGTCTTTCTCTGCACACTCAAACTTTACCAAAACACTGGAAATCTGACTCAAAATGAAATGATTCTGTCGATAATAACACTTGTTTTCACTTCACAATGCAGATGCAGTCAATCAAAGTATACCCGGTTTCAAAATACTGCCTATTGTTGACTACAGAAACTGCAGAGACTTTTGTTTTAGTTTTACAGGTATGAATAAAAAATAGAAGTATATAGTGAATGCAAAAAAACAAATTGACAAGTGTACGTAAAGGTATATTACTACATACAACCTAATATGTGCTGCCGTTATGTGCCAATTGGCACGTAAAGTATGTTGATTGATAAATAAATGTATATGTGTATAGGTAGTTGTGATGTTTGTTTCACAATTACTAACATTAATTTGTGCATCTTTAATTAAAAATGAAAAGGTTTTACACAATATAGCACAGGTAAAAAAAAAAAAAAGTGCACTAAAATGCACTTTATTTAAGTATACTGAGTACACTCTTCAGTAATGTACTAAAAGTGCTCTATTTTCGCACACTAATTTTGTACTTAATGTACTAAAAGATAGTATTAAAGATATGTAAAGATAAACTTAATACCATCTGAGTGTACTCAACTGTGCTATTTTGAGACACCATGAAATTGAACTAAAATGTGCTTTTAACATACTATATCTGTATATCTGTATTTATATATTATATATTGTAAAAAAGTATGTATATATATATATGTATATATATGTGTGTGTGTGTATATATATATATATATATATATATATATATATGTATATATATATATATATGTGTATATATATATATGTGTGTGTGTGTGTGTGTATATATAAATATATATATATATATATATTTAGTTACAACTAGAAATACACTTGAACCCTAATTTTAGACATTTAAATATATTTATGACTAATTTAAAGTATAATAGTAATATATTAACAAAATATACAAATTGTAAAAAAAAAAAAAAAAAAGTGTGCTAAATACTGTGTTAAAAGTATTTTGGGAAAATGTACTTCTACTACAATACATTACTGATGGATTTTTAATAAAGTCAATTTAATGTAAACTTAAAATTACCACACTCAAAATCAATTGAAGTGTTAGTGATAATAATGCATTCATATTAAGTGCACTTAAGTACAACTTTTGGGAAAATGTGCTTCTACTACAATACATTACTAATAGATTTTTTTTATATATTAACTTATTTTAAACTGAGGATTAGTATGTAAACAGTGTACTAAAAATCAACTAGTG